GTTTGGGAACTATTCCTCAAGAGTATAGGATGTTGAAAGTTTGTTTCGATGTTACGTGAACATGGAAAATTCAAATAAGAGACAAAAGTGATACTGCCCTCTTTGCAGATTTAAATATATATATATATATATATATATATATATATATATATATATATATATTATATATATATATATATATATATATATATATTTATTTTCAATAATATATTTATTTTCCAAATAAAATATATTATTGATGAACTAAATGGGGTTGTTTTATTGTAATGGAATCATAATAGATGAAGTGAAATGCAATGTATATATATATATATATATATATATATATATATATATATATACATTGCATTTCACTGCAAATGGGGTTGTTTTATTGTAATGGAATCATAATAGATGAAGTGAAATGCAATGTATATATATATATATATATATATATATATATATATATATATATATATATATATATATATATATATATATATATATATATATATATATATACATTGCATTTCACTTCATCTATTATGATTCCATTACAATAAAACAACCCCATTTAGTTCATCAATAATATATTTTATTTGGAAAATTTATACTTGTTTCTACCCCATTGGTAAGATTGTCTATTATTTATTAATTAGTGTTACGAAATTCAATGTAATAATTTGATATTTATAATTTAGATACTGATTATGTGATTCTTGAATTAAGGCTCGATATTACAGGAGTTAAATAAAGTTCAATAAAAATTACTTTGTCCTCCTGTAAATTATTGTATTATGCTTTTTTCCTACCAGTATTGGTCATTAGACTTATTTATGATGGTCTTCCTCAAAGTGTCCTCAATTGACAAGCAGAAGTGGAGGATTGTCATATATAAGCCTGGAGTTCTAATGACCAAAAATGTTGGCAAAAAAAGAATAATACACTTATATACAGGGATACAAAGTCTTTTTATTGAATTTGATTCACATGACATTGCAGAAATGGCTATGAAAACAATATTACAAGTTTAAAACCTTATCATCATAAAGATAACAAGCTGTTAAATAACAAAATAAAATGATTAGCAAAATTTAAAGATTTCTCATATATTTTTATGCTTAGCTGTCATATTAAGTAACTCAAGAAATTATCTTTTTATTCTCCTAATCTAGGTATATGTGAGAAACCTTGTTTTCTCTTCAAGAGAAGTAAATAAATTGAAATTTAATAAATAAAACATTGTTTATAATTGAAAAAACTATGGATCAAACAGATATTTTGTTAATTCTCATTGTAGCTAATGAATTAACAACTTTGCCAGGCATAAGATTGAACAAAAATTAGACCATATAATTTAAAGGGGTTTTTCAAATGTTTTCTTATCAATTTTATTTTATTCATTCATTGTATAAATACAACCTTCCATATAATATAAATAAAAGATATTTGAACTTTATTTTCTTCAAAGACTAATCTCTAGTTGTATCACCTCAATGCTTCCTTCTAGCACATCTGGGAATCTGGGAGTGACCTTGTCAGATAATACTATATGTATCTATTTACATAGTCAAAAACATACATGAGAATACTTTCAGTCAACTCTAGTAAGGTATATAAATGAGTACAAATGAAAATAAACACAAGTGTAAATGTGGCGTATTTTATTCATATATGATAACTTCATATATTTTTCTAATGATTTAGCTTATAACATAAAATATAAGCTGTACAAACTTAAACAGTATTGCAATAAATTGAATTGAATACTTTTTATGCCTTCACAGGGACTATGATTCATTTTCAGCCTCTGATTATATTTACATGTATTATTACGATTTAATTAATATAAATTAGTAACAAGGGACAGAACATAAATGTCAGGTAATAATTGGAAAAATTCCAAACCATATAGCCTTATGTCACCAAAATGCAGGCAGAGGAAAAAAACCTGTCGTTTTGTCAACTCAGGCGTCATCAGGACAGAAAAGAATAGCTAATCGAACACCACTTCACGACATCCAATCTCATACTCATGATTATGGTCTGAGTGATATTATATTGGCTCTTCTCTTCTTTTCTGATAATACCTGAATTGTCGAAACTTTGATAGGTTTTTTTTCTCTACCTGCATTTTGGAGAAATAAGGCTCTGTGGTTTGTAATTTTTCCTGTTATAAATTATTATTTAAGTAATAAATTGTTAATTCATCTTTAAGCAATTCCAATTATCTATATCATAGGTGGAAAATCTTTTTATAATGAGGCCACGGTAAGATTAGGCAGTGATGATGTTGGCCACAGTAAAAGTTTATATTTTACTATTGTTATTTTTATTAATATTTATAATATGATGATGCAGCATCTAGCTTAGACAGATGGTGTCGTAATAACGGCAAAAAATAAAACAGCAATAGCAGGGGCACTCGAAGAAACAGCAGCTAAAGAACTAGGGCTTCAAATAAATGAGAAGACATCCAAACTTCAAAAACGCCAAGTGAAACAGAGGAATTTAAAGAAAGCTTAAAGAGATCTCCGCAGGATCTACGGTCCTATGTGTGAGAATGAGCAGTGGAGAATTAGTACCAATAAAGAGTTGTGCGAGATCTATGGAAGGCCGGATTTGATCTCAATTGTAAGAAATAACCAAATGAAATGGTTGGGCCATGTGGCACATATGCCCATGGATTTCATTCCTAAACACCCGCTGGATGATCGACCTGGTGGAAGACGTAGCAGAGGAAGACCCTGAGATGGATGGACAAGGTGGAGGACATCCTGAAAAAGATGGGAATCCGGAGATGGAGATTGCTCGCTCGAAATAGAGAAGAGTGTTGAAGAATAACAAGAGAGAGCCTGGTTCTTGTAGGACTGTAGTGCCAAATAATAATAATAATAATTTTTATTAATAAATAAATACACACCCATTTACATTTATTCAAATTAATTCTATTAATTTTCAATTTTTTGTAACCTAAATATTTAAAATGAATTCATTCTAGTACTTGATTAATGAAGACCGCTCAAAAATGTTTGGAGGCTGCGGCTTCGGCATAGAGGCCATATGCGGCCTAGAGTCTGCAGGTTCCTCACTTGTGTTATATATGATGTTTTGGGTGTGATTAGAATTAGAACAAGCTGGTATAATTATCTTTTATAGTTCAATATAAAATTTACTTCATAAAGAAGACCCAGATAGGGGGATCTTCCTCTGACAGTACAACTCCTCACCTTCCAAGATGACATTAATATAATAGGTTGTTATTTTGACTATGTTCTTGAATCATTAATAGTTTTGAAAGTTACAGCAAAAACTTGTCTTGATCAATGTCTGTATTAAATGAAGACAAAAAACAAGCTTAGAATTTGTAAAGAAACAGGTCTTATAGGAGTAAAATTTAAACTAAGAACATTATATTTGTGCAGGTATCAGAGTTAATGTATGTTGGATCACAGCTTAACATGATAACAGTAGACAGATGCATTTCTGTATTTCATGTTTTTAACAAGTTTTCCATGTTAATGTGATGTTGTTAATATAGTTTATTATAAGTCATTTATGGTATCGTTTTGTCCACTTTAGAGACAAATCTGTTCCATCAATGAGCACAGTGCTGAGTTTAGCAACTTGCCCATAGCTTTATTCTAAATGTACTGTAGATCTTATAAGTGGCATCAGTAATTCATAAACTTACCTTTATAGAGTTTCACAATTCAATTATCTTGCTAATTAATAATTTAGATTTTAAAAACTAATAATAACAATAGCTGTGAAATAAAAATAAAGAATTACAATGAAATATTAGATTTGATCATGAGTAATAAAGAATAAAGAGACCTGAAATCTCACCTCGAATTAAGTGGTTGGCTAATTCGAATCAAAAAATACATGAACCAGCAATATAATTTTATAAATAAAATTTGTTATCACTACCGACACTTTTAAACTCACATTCACATTAATAATACGCATTAAAACTGAAAAAAATTTTAAATAAAATAAGTTTCACAAATTAATTTGAAAAAGTTGTTGCTGGTTCAGAGAAAAAAAAGCAGAGGGCATTACGTTAGTTACCGGGAAAGTTAATTTGTTACCAACTACGCTCTACTAAAATACATATAATTAATTATTCAATATTTCATTATTATTAACTAGCTAAAAATGTTTTTATTTCGTCATTATTATTCGCGTCATTTATTCTTAAAATTTCTATGAATTATATATTTAACCATCGTAAATATAATATATACGTTAAAGAAAATATTTGTTAATACTTGGAATAACGAATCATCATAATGATATAAATAAATTATCATAGTTTCTGACTGTATTTATAATTATATGAATATTTTTATTTTTATAAATCAAATTAAAACTATTTCCTAATCATGCATTGAATAGTTTTAACTTCTTCAAAAAATAAAATCTTTATTTTACTTTATTATTTTAATTTTTTATGCCCCCCCAAAAAAATTTAATTTTCAATAAAAAGTAACAGGGTAATGATTATATTAATGTATACATTTTCCCTCCAATTACGAAATTCTCACAGCGCTGTTTCTTTTCAAAGTTGAAAATCTGCTTAATCCGCTAAATATTAATAAACGACGGATATTTCAATTCATGAGGAAACGTCTTGTTTTAAATTTTTGATAATTTTCAAATGTAAATATTCACTTTTAATTAAACGTTTATTATTTACTAGATTTGCCGTTCCTAGTAGCTCTGCACGATTTTCTTTTTATGTAGTCTCAGAAATAAATTAATATTCTTATATGTATAATATGAGAAAGTATAAGTATAAATATTAATGCTTATAATTTCTCCTGTTAAATATTAAGGACTATATTTTCTCGATGGATTGCATAATTGATTATAAAATTAAATTATCTGATGGAATAATGTATTACGAGTGTGAGAAATGGATCATATCTTCAACAATTTTTTTTTCCAGAGTTTCCAATATCTTTGTTATCAAGAATGAAATTCCAAGGCCAAAGCTTATCATTAGAATAGCCTCCCCCGGCACCAGGTTAGTCCTTGCTCAGCTCCTTTGGACACATCATCGTAGAGATTTAATATTTCCTTCATAAAAGATTTAACTATGGCCCTAAATAATATTCGATTCATTTTTAATGTCACCAAAATAACATCCTTTGGAGCTCTCCATCAGACAGGGAAAAGATTTGCAAGTAATAATCACTTCATATTATATTTATTTCTTATTTAGTTTAAACTAAAAAAATATATCTTAATTTTACAAATGTTTTTATAGGTGCAGCTGCTGGTAGCTATCAAAATATTTTGGCAGATAAAGCAGGAGAGAAAAAAAATGTTGGACTCATTACTTTAAATAGGCCGAAAGCCTTAAATGCCCTGTGTGATGCTTTGATTTTAGAATTAGCTGATGCTGTACAAAGCATGGATAAAGATGAAACACTTGGGGCAATCGTTATCACTGGGAGCGAAAAAGCATTCGCGGCAGGTAATAATGTTTTTTTTTTTCATTTTTCCTTCTTTCTTGATTTGATTTGGAATAATTTAAATTCATATCTTTAAATGTTTATACTAAGGTGCTGATATCAAAGAAATGTTGAATCAAACATATTCCGCCAATATACGATCAGGCTTATTGGAACGTTGGTCTGATATTGGAAAGTGCAAGAAGCCTATTATTGCTGCTGTTAATGGTTATGCTGTAAGTGTTTATTGATTTTGATTTTAAAATTAAGTTTGTATTATAATTAGTTTGTTATACTAACCTTCCATTTAGTATTAAAATTTATTGTGAAATGATTGTTTTAAATTCAGATAGATCGGTTTGTACCTATAGCTAGTAATTTGTATATATTCATTTTCTCTCTTAAATTATTATTCGTCAAGAATGACATAGATGTTATAAAAAACAAATATAAATCACTGTCCAAGTAATGATGCATCCATCCATTGACTATGATTGTGTTGTTTATTGGTGATTGAGGTCAGTTCATAATACTTTATGTACGTTTTAGTAAATACAACCAAACTTCTATAAATTGAACTTCCAGATTTCTATGAAGCTTTTTTTTTAGGAATATTAAATTATTATTAGATAGAATATATTCTGTATATAAAAGTTTTTTATTTATCCAACAAAAAATCATAAAAATAAAATGTAAAATGTAATAGTCACCAAAAAGGGAATTAAGAACATATTTCAACCTTTGAAAAGATTAATTTATTTTGATTAATATAGATGTTTGTCGTCTTACACCCTAATAAACATTAAAAACTCTTTGTAGAATGATTTATCTGTTTAAATTAAATAGTTCCATATATTAGTTATATAATCTGCAATCAATTGTAAATTCTTCCCGCATTCATTATTATTTGATTCAGATTCTCAATAACATTAAATAATTTAAATTTACCGTTCATTTTTCACTTATACTATACATTATTAAAAATTTCGCCTTAAATGTTAAATCTAAAATATACTAATAAATTTTATGATAGTATGAGACAGGTTGTTTAAAAAGTAACTGCAGGTTGTTTTCTAAAATATAGTACAAATAATAATAAGTTATCCCTACAATGTAAACAAGCGAGGATAAATGCTTAAATGCTGGTCTGAAAATATCTTCATCTTTTTATTATATACAAAAACTGATTATTGCTGGTATATTTTTAAAATTTTATAATGATTTTTAAACAGTAACTTTATTAAATATGTAATAAGAAAATACATTCAATGTTTAATGGAACTTTATCTTTTTGAATACATAATATGATTTTGGTTTGAAGAAAATAAGAAAAATGTTTGCTTCTCATCAGTATTTAGGAAGTACTCTGATAAGAGAGAGACATAATTTATAGGAAAGCTTTAAAACAAGAAAAACACTCGAATGATATGAGTAAATCATAAGAATATTATTGTGAGATATAAATAGATCCTTTCTTTATGAGATATTATTATCTAATTGTCAGTCACTCTAAAAAAACAACTCACTTATGTAACAGTTCAATGGTCAGAATTATACTTGGAATAAAACTGCAAATAAGCAATTGAAGATATATATTAAGATGACAGATTTAAGTTTTTATTTTTAAGTTTTAATTATCAAAACTTCAGTGATGACTTGCAATTTGTCAGACCACTAAAAACTGTTGATATAAATTTTCCTCCAAGAATTAGATCATAGTCTATTATCTTTAAACAAAATTACACTCTATAATTATTTTTTTATTACATGATATGGACTTGTTGATCTTTTTTTCTTATCACTTCAAATTAAGGGGCTTTGACGAAACCTACCAACTTTAAAGATTCTACAAGATTTTTCTCCTACCACTGCTTTTTTAAAATGCTTTCTCTTTTTTATCTGTTGTTTTCTTGATTTCATAGTGTAGTTAAGAGATTGAGGAGGGGGATTGGTGAGGTAATTTCAGATGCCTAGATGTACTGAATAAAATTCAATTGTGAATTAAAAAGCTTTATGTTAATTTTTGTATTTTTGAAACGCAAATGTGCCTCTTAATCCTATTTTTTAAGATTTTTTTTAATTATCTCCTAATATATTAATATAGATGTATTGATATATAATACTATTACAGTTATATGCAATTTACTAACTACTTTTGCACTCATGCTCTTTTGTACTTTTGTACTCATATTATAAAACTACCTCCTTAATGTTTGATATTTTAATTATCATCGATTCATTATTTTGTAGCTACAATTTTTACCGAATATCAAAACTAAACTTTTAACTCAATTAAAAATATAATCGAATTCCAGGAAGAACGAAGCCCATCATCAAAGATGAGTGAGAGGAGATAATATTATATATCTGGTGTTGCATGGGTTTGAAATAAGTTGCTTATAATTACTGATATTGTCAATACTTCTTTATTAATTTCTAGAAAGAAAATTTATAACTAAGTCCAAAAGAGTTATGAGAGAATAAATATTTGTCTTTCAACAATATAACACTAAACTTACTGACTTAACAATCAGGAATGGCTTTAAGTTTATAAACTCCAGCTGTTGGTTAGATCCATCAGAATATATTAGTTTGAAGACATAAGAAACTAAAATCTTATGGACCCAATAAGTCTATAGTAGGTAATAACAATTAATTATAATAGGCCAATTTATAGGGTTCACAGATTTTTTGCCAATCAATTGTTCAATGAACAATCAATGAAAATCTAAGATTTAAAAATACAACTAAATGTTTCTATTATGAAATAAAATGATATAATGAAAAAAAAAAAAGAAGAAAAGATTCTTTAATGATAAAATTAATAAAACAATAGAGGGGGGAGGGAGAGTTAGTTTTTACAGACTTTTTTGGTTTAGTTATATCCAAAGTGAAAAACATCTTGCCAATTCTTCTTATATATACTTGGCTTCTTCAACTTTAGATTAACACTGAATCAAAAAATTCTGCCTTGATTTTTATTATAATAATATTATCATCGTTTTTTATTTTTAGTAAATCATTTTATGTCCTTTGTCTAAATAAAATGGTAATTACCAGTATTGTGTGGGAATAACTTTAGTTTCTTATGACTTAAATCTAATAGACTTTCTCGGATCCTACTAACAGCTGGGGTTTGTTAAATAAAAGCCATTCCTAAGTTTTAAGGAAGCCTGTTTAGTGTTCTCATGCTGGAAGCCAAATTCTTATCTTAACTTATTTGAACCTAGTTGATGGATCAAGATAAGACAAACTGTCTTTTAAATATTTGAAGGCATCAAGACCCAGTTAGGTTCCTTCACAACATATCGAGCCATGCATTTTAAAACCAAAAGATATTCCATTTTTAAAATAAACTATTATTCATTTTACAAGCTTCCTAGGTACAAATAAAAATTATCAAAATCAGATTAATTATCAACTATTTTTACTTTCACTTACCTATATATGCAATATATTGTAAGGGTAAATATTGCAATCATGAAAATTTTCGAGTTTTCACATACTTGTTTTGATGTCTCCTGAGTCCAAATAACCAAGTCCTGAAAATGGTTTGTGTGTGTATATATGTTATCAGTCTAATCTAGCTCAAAAACGAAAAGTCGTATGAAAGTGAAATTGCATATTTAAAGATTTTATAAGCTTTTGATGTTAAAGCAACATTCTCGTCAAAATCGGCAAACTGAAAGTGGTACTTTATATAATCGATTTAACACATTTTTATGAGTTCCTCAAAAATGGCTTTAACCATTTTGATTAAACTCAGTATATCAGTGTATTATCAAGCAGTTTTTAATATAATGTAGGTTTTATTCTCATTGATGTTCTCTATCAGGGTTTAAATGGCTTAATTTTCAATATTGGCTTCCTCTACAGTACCTCTATTTTTTTATTTGAAACAATCAATCATTTCACATTAATGTTTGATATAAAAAAAATAGTTAAATATAAAATATGAAAGTATTTGATAATTAACTAAAGAAGAAATAATATATTGTAACGGATAATAGTTGTAATAGAGGAATCAAAGGAATATGAGCTTGCTCGAGCTCGCCTGAAAGATTACTACAGGCTTCCATACGTAACATGAGCTTCATATAATACGGATTCCGACAATATTATGTTAATATCCATATGCGGTTTTCATAAATGTATCGTTGGTATTATTTAATATTTAATTGTATAGAATACAGTGATATCAAAATTCAAATTTGTATATATAAGGATATTTAAACAAATAAAAATACCCACAATGATTGTAAATAAATATAGCGTCAGTAATTTTTACTTTCACTTCCCCTTTGTCTGAAAATACTTATTTCTTTCCCAGATTTTCAACAATGATATAGCAAATATTCAGTTAGTTATGAATTATAAATTTTACACCTTTTGATCTATTGTTTTGCATGAACCGTTGTAATTGACCAAGGAAAAAAAAAATTAATTCTTCCATTTCATAATACACTGAATTTACTTATTTTCATATTATTTTGTCATTTGTTCACCGATCAATAGACCATATGAATTATTTTAACAGCCAACTAGTTTTATATAAAATGAAAACTGAATGTTCCTATTATTAAATAAAGTGGTTTATTAAAAGAAAAAAAAATTTGTGATGATATAAAATTAATATAATAAAATGCATAGTGGGTGCTCACAGATCTTCTTTTTAGCCTTGCATGATAATAGTGATTTTTTTTCCCCACATATTACTAACATATTGTATTTTCGAATTTGTGTGAAAGATTTATTGTGTTAAAGGTCTGATAAAGTCTTAGTGAAGTTATGATAATTAAAACTTTAAAAAGAAAAAAAAAATTAAATCTGTTATCTTAATTTTATGTTGTTTTTTTTTCTTTAATTGCTTGCTTACTTGCAAATTTATTTCAAGTATAATTTTGACCATTGAACTGTTACATAAGTGAATTTTATTCATTAGAGTGACTGGCAATTAGATAATAGTTATCTTTTAAAGAAAGGAGTTGTTTATATCTCATAATGATATTCTTATAATCTGCTGAGTCATTATTTTCAGGTGCTGGTTGTTGTCATAAAGCTTTTTTTATAATTTATGCCTATCTCTTTCTGTTTATTATCTAAATTCTGATGAGTGATAAAAACTTTTCTTTTTTTCTTCCCATCAAATCAAAATCATATTACATACTTGGAAAGACAAAACTCAATTAAACATTGGATATATTAAATATATATTAACTTTATTTTTTTTTTAAATAATGATAAAATAAAAATTATTTATTAATAAAAAGCAATTTTTAAAATTTTATGAAAAGATGAAGATATTTTCAGACCAGCATTTGAGCATTTATCGCCTAGCCCATTGACATTGCAGGAATGACTTGTTATTATTTGTGCAACTTGACTTGTAAACAACCTGCAGTCACTTTTTAAACAACTTGTCTCATACTATCATGAAAATCATTGTTTTATTTAAAATTTTATATTCAGTGGCAAGCCTTTAATAATATATAATATACCTTCATATGTAACAAATCTTTATTTTTCCTTTCGTGACATTTTGTACTTTTCCATATTCAAAGACTCAATTTCTTCAAGAAACGTTCTAATTACAAAATAATAGAAACAAATTTGATAATAGAGATTCCAGTCACATTGAATCTGATAAAAATAAAAAATAAATCCTTTAAATTTCTGATGTACACTATATTATATCAGGGCTGTCTGATTAGCTCTTTTTGTTTGTGCTCTTTCTGAACGATTAACATGATAATTTAAGGGAAGGGCTAGATATCGTAGGGATTAATATTAGGTGCTTACTGTATGCGGGTGATGTAGTTATACTAGCCTCCTCCCCAATAAAATTATAGTAAATGATAAATAATCTCAAAAATCACTGTTGTATGTGGAATTTACTTATAAATCTGGTGAAATAAAAAATAATAGTTTTTCTTAATGTTTTGTTTCTTTTCACTCGTCTTAATTGATTGCTCAAGAGTTATATAACATCTTTTTATTCTTTAAAAATGTTTTGGTTAAAACACATCTGGTAAAATAAATTAACTTTTAGTTATCATATTATTGATATAATTATAATTAATGGTTTTAGGTCCCTTCATAGCTCTAGAATTTTTTTTATGAAAGTTATAAATTTAACTATCTATATACCAGTGAATATTCAATTTTATTTGTTTAATCATTATTATTACTGATTTTATCAGTTTATTACATAGGAACTAACTTTAGAACATATTCATTATTCAAATAATTATCTCATTAACTTATATTTATAATTTTTAAAAATGTTAACAATCTGTTTTCATTTTGGGTGTGATATACTATTTTACATAAAATCGTTCAGACTTCTTAATTGTTTCACACAATTATAATTCATCTTCTTTTGTTTTTCTATATAAATATTAATTTTTATTATGTTAATGAGCTAATATGGCCTAATCTGCCCTCTCCTAAAGAAAGGCTCTATATATTAGTGTAGTACATACAGGCAAAGCATTTATTGCTGTTGCCTTCAAGATGACCTATATCCTACTTAACCGGACATATCCCTATTATGAAAATATAATAGGCGACCCCCAAGCTGGATTCAGAAAAAGAAGAAGCACTCTAAACCAGATCTTCATGCTAAATTAAATACTTCAAAAACAATGGGAAGTAGTTTAGGATGTGCATGCCTTATTTGTCAATTTCAAAGCACCCTATGATTCCATGGACAGAAACTATCTTTGGAAGATCATGACTAAATGTATGAAATGAAGTTCCTGGAAAGTTGGTAAAATTAATGAAGGCATTTACAAATTACTCTAAAGATTAAGATATAAAATCCTTGGTACAGATGATATATTTGTACTTGGAAGCAATAAGCAGAGGTTTGCTAAGACTCTGATAGGAGAAGCAGGGCCAATTGGTCTAATGAAAATAAACCAAAATATATCATATGTTTTGGTTTATTTTCATTAAACCCATTCGCTCTGCTTATTTTCAGCTTATCGTAATAAGCTGAAAATAAGCAGAGCGTGATTGATTTTTTATTTAAGCGAGTCGCGTGTTTTGTTGAATAGGAAGCGATAACCAAAGAAACATTTGATTTAAGGATTCAAACGTTGCTCCATAGTAAACTAGACAAAAATTATTTTAAACGAAAGTATAACATTTTTTTGAACGGAACTTAGCTGTGTTTTTCCGCTTAATAGTCCTCTTTAAATGGTTTTAACAATGACAAACTCTACTTTTGTTTAAAGTAAATTTTGTCTACTCGTACTGTGAAGCTTGAATCCTTTAATCAAAATTTTTTTTGTTATTGCTTCCTATTCAATAAAAAACGTGACTCCCTTAAAATAAAACAAATCTTGAATTTCCTACTTTTCTGCTAGAAATTAAGCAATTGTTTGTATAAACTATTTTGTAGATGTTGATGTCTACTATCAATCTTTTAAATATTTCCCTCTACCTACGTGACATCCTGTATACCAACACAGATAGAGCTTTATTTTTTTTCTTTGAAAGGTATTGAAATAATGAAAAATCTATTGAAATCTCAAATCAAGGGTTTAAATGCTATGATGAAGCCAGTTAAGCTATTGAAATATTTTAAAGAAAACTCCTCCAAATGGTAATCAGAGTATTAAAATATGGAGGATGAGACTAATAAAGAACTGCCAATAGAAACTGATCAATCAATATCTGATTTAAATGAAGGGAAGAAGGTTAAGATAGCCAGTGCATGTAGTTCAGAGCTTATATATTAATGAATGCCTCAATAAGGAGGCAAGAGTCCACATGGAAAGCCAAAAACCAAATGAATAGATGGAATCTATTAAGATGCTGCTGAGCTGCATGTAGATAACTGGAAATGAATAAATCTACAGAAAGCGGCAAAAGATCTACCAGGTCTGCAAAGCGGACTGAAAAAAATAAAAAACAGTTAATCAAATGCAGTTGGTCTTGTACACATCATGTGTATGAAACAGACATTTATAATCTAAATTTTAGCCTGGTGAAATTTTAGGGCATAGTTAGCTAATAATAAACATTAAAACTTAAATCTAATGTATTTGCTAATTAGATGAACATTATCTTTTGTTTTATATTAATATAATTTATTAATTGTTGAAGTTTTACTTTATGTATTTTAACTGTTTTTTTTTTACTGTTTGGTCTCACAGCTTATTTTATTTTACAGCTTGGTGGAGGTTGTGAGTTGGCGATGATGTGCGATATTATTTATGCTGGAGACAAAGCAAAATTTGGCCAGCCAGAAATAATTATCGGAACTATTCCCGGTGCTGGTGGCACTCAAAGGATTGCAAGAAGTTGCGGTAAAAGTAAAGCTATGGAAATGTGCCTCTCCGGCGATCAAATCACTGCCCAAGATGCCGAAAAAATGGGTAAGTTCTTCTAAGTTAAAATATATTTTCATAATTAATTTATTATTATGCATCCCAGGACACATAAATAAAAAAAACTGTAAATTACTACACAATGGTTTATTACTTCCTAACCATTATGCATCTAAAGTAACATAATAGTCCGGGACCCTGTGGCAAAAAAGGTGTCATATTTCATACTAAGCTTAGTCCTTATAAATCGATCATATCCACAGGCCTGATGAGAAAAATGCCCGTCTGCCAGCATATGGCCGCTAGAATACAAAATGGCAGCCATGTGAAGATAGATAGAAACTCTGTATAGGTTGTAAGCGTACATATAGAGAGGGCTTATTGATATATAAAACTACCTTTTCAATTTATAGTCTTAAGACATGAAATAATAGTTAGTTACCCCTTACACATGGATTTCAAGTTGAAAAATTGTATTTGCGATTCAAAAAGTTTAGTTTTTTCGGTTTTTCGTTTATATCAGTGAAACTATGCTTCTATCTATAATAATGTTAGGTGTGAAATTAAAGATGACAACATTTGCAATAGAAATGGTTATATTAGTTTATTCGCTATATTCCATAGTTTCCATGATATCCATCTTCGTAATTCACTTATTTAGAAAAAAAAATGTTTGCATCGCATTTTTATCATTATGTGACTCGCCAACTCTTTATCTTTTCATTTTATGAATAAGTCATGGGGAAGAAAGTTGTTCAATATTAAATTTTCTTTAAGAATATATATTACCTTACTATTTTATCTTCAACCATTCAAAGGCTAGAGCAATGATAATTTAGTGATTAAATTCCGAAATTATAGAGAAAAACTTAATTTTTACAATTTTTGTTATTGCACAGCTCTTAATCTGTATATAAGACAACATACGTGTGTGTTACATTGGCTTACATAATATACATATATATATACTGTCTTATATACAGATTAAGAACTATGTAATAAATAAAATTGCGAGAAGTAAGTTATTCTGTATAGTTCCGGAGTTTAATCATTAAATTATAATTGCTCTAGCCTTTGAATGGTTGGAGATAAGATAAAAAAAGAATATACATTCTTAAAGAAAATTTAATATTAAACAGCTTTCTTCCCCATGGCTTTTTCATAAAATGAAAAGATAAAGAGTTGGCGAGTCAAATAATCATAAAAATGCAATTCAAAATTTTTTTTTTTTCGAAGTTAGTGAATTACAAGGACAGATATCACAGAAACTATATAATATGGCAAACAATTATTACATATAAAATGCATAGTTTCGCTTATATAAACAGAAAAAAGTAAACTTTTTGAATCGTAAATTCAATTTTTCAACTTGAAATCCATGGGTATGAGGTAACTGACTATTATTTCATGTCTTAAGACTACGAATTGAAAAGGTTGTTAGTTTTATATCTCTATAAGCCCTCTCCATTCCAGTATTCCAGCGGCTGGCTATATGCTGGTAGACGTGCATTTTTCTCATCAGGCCTGTGGATATTGTCAGTTTATAAGGACAAACCTTAGTATGAAATATGATATCTTTTATTCTCGTGGGCTCCAGGACTATAAACCTTCCTGTTAACATAAGAAAAATAAATAAAAAGTGATTCCTATTATTGGCCTAAACTTTTTTTTTTTTTTTCATCATTAGTAATTTGCTAAACAAAATAGCATTTCTTCAGTAACACTTTCAAAAATTTATAACAAATGATATGAAAGGATTATTGGCAGTAGAACATTTAAAAAATATCTAGACACCCTATCTTTGCTCCAAATTGTCCAATTTCAAAAAATTTTTTTTGTTTTTTAGGAAAATTTATTAAATTTTAAATAACCATTTACAGTATCAACAAAAACTGCATACTTTTTGAGTTATTTGGAAATCTAATTTTACTACCCTCCTTAACTTTTTTTCCTGCTTATTTTCATTGAAGTATGTTATATTGATAAATTTAAAAGGCATCGAGAAGAAGAATTTAGTCAAGTTTCATTGAAAATGGTATATTAGTTTAGGCGCTACAGTCTATAGCAACACAGGTTTTTCGGTCGCCGTCTTGATAAGAAAAGGGTGGATAGTAATGTCGATGTAGGATGATCATCTACATGAGCATCTACAGTGACTTCTAACTTTAAATCCAAATTTGAAAAAAAAAATTGTATTAGATTTTCAAATTCTATGCATCCTGAATTTAATATTAAAAATAATTATAATAATATAAAATAATTAATTTAATTAACATAAAATCTCAAATTTTGAGGGGGAGGTTAAGTTTTTTAATTGTTTGGACAGTTACAATGGTTCATTATTGAAAATAATAAATGAAAATTAAAGCTTTCTTGAATTGAGCTCAACGTTACAGGCGTGAACAATAAAAAAATGTCCTCCTGTTCATAATTGTTTATTCTTTCCTTGCTACCGGATTTGGTCTTTCATCAGACTATCATCAGGTTAATTTATGAATTTATTCTGCTTGTCAGTTGAGGACAGTTATGAGCTTTATCATTCTTGACTCAGCCGTTCATCATTTAATTGATCCACAAAATGAATCTCAAGCTTTTCTCCCTGATTTAAATAGGTTTAATTATATTTCTAGAACAATCTGTAATGAAGTTTATGGCTATTGAAATTCAATTTTTATTTTTTGTTCCAGGTTTGGTTAGCAAAGTCTTCCCTGCTGACCAACTAGTAGCTGAAGCTGTGAAATTGGGCGAACGTATTTCTAGGCATTCTCCTTTAATTGTACAACTCTGTAAGGAATCTGTCAATGTCGGTAAGTATTCATATTTTTAGTATTCAGTGTCGTTATTTATTGTTTTGCAAGTATTGCATAAAATAATTTAGAAAAAAAATGTCAGTTACAAGATATCACTTCTTAGCCGTCTTAATTTTTATTCTGAATTGATAGTTTTAATTATTACTTATTATTATCATTTCAGCATTTGAAACAACTCTTCAGGAGGGGCTAAGGTTTGAAAGGAAGACTTTCTATGCTACGTTTGCAACGGTAATAATCTTTTATTTAAAATTTATAATATAACTTTATTAACAAACATGTTAGGTGTTTTGGACTTAACCAAAATACCAATTTGTGTCCGAAAGAACTGGGAACCTATTAATCCCCAACTGTTGATTGTAAATTATCTGCATTATAAGACAAAAATGTAAAAAATAAAACTATGATTATTTAAAAAAAAAATAATTTGCAGAATTTCGATCAATAACTACTCTCCAATTTGATAATCAGATTATTAACTATTTTACTTCTATCTATATTATTGTTATTCTCCTATTCTCTGTTTCACATTTCTCCATGTATATTGGTGAAAAGAAAGCATTTAAAATTTATTTTTATAGACTTATTTTAGGTGGGAATTTCAATTTAATTTTAACTACTTTTATTACAATTTTATGTCAAGGACAAAGGTATATCAACTTATTTTTTAACAGAAGACATTTTCCTGATTTTGTGTTTTATTATTGTGTACATATTTACGTATTAGAAAGGCAGGGATATAACCTAAGCAAAACATGTAGGCCATTGCTGCTATGTTGAATGTGAACAGAATTGTTAATACTCGGTTACAGATATTTATCAGGAATCTGGGAATAGTGTGGTTTGGGTGATCTTGCAACTAGGCACCTTCTTGGTGTAGTAAAAGTGAACTATTAGCAAATTAATGAAGCTGTAACAGATCACAAGTTACATTTGAATTGTAGATAACAAGAAACTTACAATTTAAATGGTGGAAGTAATAAATTAACTTTTGAAACGGAAGTAAGTTTTAAACAGCTGATAAATTTAAAATTTGCTAGACAGAATATTCAAACATAGTGCAGAGTATCAAGTGGTTTGATTCTAAGAAGAACCGTCATTATTTCTTAGGATACTTGTACATTGCATTTTAAAATTTGAAGATAGAGAGGAAATTATGGTCTAAAAAAAAAGTTCATTCATTTTAATTTTTCATACCATAGTTTAATATTGAGATATTAATAGATTAATTTTTGGTTTTAAGGTCATTAAAGTTATAACCTAACTTTCACTATCCTTTTATATTAAAAAAAATGTTCCATTTCTTATTTTATGCTTAAGAGTCATGAAGTAATTCTGCTTTTTTGAATGAAGGTATCTCTTCATTACATATAAATTAAAGGAAGGGATACCTTCATTAAAAAAATAAAATAAAAATAAACAAAAACAGGAAAAATAGCTTATATTATATCTTCGGATACAAATCATTTATTTAAATAAATACATCAGCCATTTTTTTAAACATCTTTTAGCTATTATTTTTTTATATTCTGTAGAAATATATGAAAATATTATTTAAATATTTTAAAGCTATAGAAGAACTTATGCCTTAATTTTATTATTACATATGTTTTTAAAAAAGTATTAATGAATTATTATAAGGTTATTGTGCTGATGAAAATAATTATACAATTTTTATGTTAATGAAAAAAAAAATTGGTATAATTTAAAATTGTGTTTCTGAAGCATTCTTTTTCATGTGTACATCAGCAAGCAATCTCTTCGTATAGCTCATTTGTTAACTTTGGTGTTTCAGGAGGATAGAAAAGAGGGTATGGCCGCCTTCACTGAAAAGAGGAAACCCAACTTTAAAAATAACTAATTCCTTACTTATTTCCGAAAGGTGAAGGAAGTATTGTAATAAAAATAAGATGTTACAAATTATATTGTATTCGAGATATTTTTGTATAAAGATATAAAGCTTAGCTATGTATATTTTTGAATGTTTATAATAAATTCTATTTTCTATACAAAATGTCTTCTTGCTTTCCATCATATGTTTCATTATCATTTTTGTGTTTAAATATTGAGTGTAATTTTTGTGAGTTGTGTTGTGATAATTCTTTTTATGGACAAGGAAAAGAAAAGATTTCGAACTGGTGAGTCGACTTCATTTTATAAATATTTATTGTATCATATTTTACATAAATTTATATACTATGTACATTACAAAATTATTTAACAATAAATATCACAAAATTTCACAAAACTAATTCTAAATTATTTATAAATAAAATTGAATGTGATGAATTTTAATTTTTTTTGTTTTTTTGATTTTTTTATAAGAACATTTTTTTTTTTTGTCTGGTAATCGAAATATTTACATCTTTTCTCTTTATTCAAAAAGGTACTCCATTTTACATAAAAAAAAAAAAATAATACATACTGAATTTGTGTCAATTCAGTTACTTTAACACCTAGTGATAGATAAAAGAAAATATTTATGAAAAATAAGTTTGCGAGTTATTGTTATCATTCAATGATTTTTTCTTATTAATAACAGTTTCAAAAACATAACAATAACAGCATTCAACAAATCTATCTAAATATTCAATAATTAAATATTAAAGACATTTAGAATTGATTAAAATTTCAGACATTATATATTGTTCGCTAATAGTGCATTAATGGTTCTTTATACAAGTTTAAAATAAAAGAAATTGCTATCTAAACATCAAAACTGTCTTATATAGCTATGAAGCACAGGAACTTACAGTTTGACAATTGTAAAAATTTATTATAAAATTTCTTACTTCTTTTTCTAAACCTTAGTCTATTTGAAACAGTGTTAAAATATCTATTATATTTTAATTTGCTCAATTCCTCACATTTTCTAATTAATTAAACAAATATATAAAACATTGTTACAAATTAGTTTATGAATAATCCTCTATAGACTGGTCTTAAATTGTATAATGGCAAGATATGTTTACAATAATAGGATAATTTTCTTCCTTATTTTTTCCAATACTGATTCCAGTATAATAAAAGTTAAGTACATTAAATGGAATGATGTTTTGTTAAACAACATATTGATATAGAATATTAACCTTCTAAACAAAACAACACATAACGTACTCATTAAATCTTGCTCAAATTAGAGCATACTCTGCTGCTCAACAAAACATTGTTGTTTTTTAACAAAAATATTAACGATATGTTTCGGGCAGCTTTAGAGCTAGCAGTTGTCTGTGTAACCTCTGTCGGCAAAAGTGATAGAACTCTACTTCTCTTGTGAAATTACGACGTACAATATCTTTTACTTCTTCGCTGACTGGTGGTTTAAAGTTGTTACGATTAATCTTTCTAAAGCGTTCCAGTTCTTCTGTAACCAAAGAAATTTATTATAAGATTATTTCTATTGGTTATGGACTGTTTAATGAATAATAATAAGAAAAAGCATTATTGTTGGATTATTTATTTGATATTAATGTCCTTGAAAACTCAAACTCTAATGGGCTACCCAACATGTTATAAACCTAGGCTCTTTTCTACTTTAAGCACACCAGTGAATTTTTGAAGTGTTTTTGGATTAGGATTAAAATATCTCTGAAACTAAAACTAAAAGCTGCATACTGTAAGTAAGGGAAATGTTCAGAATTTTATCTTCTTTGTAATAAGCTATTACTCAAAATTGTATTTTAATGCGGCACTGTGTTAGACAGCCAAAAAGGGAAAAATAGCTTAAAAAACCATCTATCTAATAACGAGTTTTATTGAAGATATGGATTAAAATATCTCAAAAACTAAACATTGGGCCTGCATGTTGTTAGTGAGGAAAATGTTCATCAGTCCATCCTCTTCGCAATGAACTATTATTCAAAATTGTATCTTAACTCGAAGCCGTGTTAGTGATGTGAAAAGGGAAAAAGATAGCATCACTGGTGTGCTTAAAGTATAAAAGAGCCTAAACCTATTCTACTAGAGTGGGAGGGTTGAGATTTATTAGGCCTCGAGAATTCTAATGTGGGCAGTGAGCATCTCTTAACACACTCGGCTACCATGCTATCCATAAACTTTATTACAATACATGAATGCTTCACACTGTGCTACTTAATGGTAATTTTTATAAGCAATAAATAAAATAAAACATTCTTCTTTTTTGCTGGGAATCTGTATGATATCCTCTGTTTTTGGCAATGATAACTTCCAAATATACAGTTTTTTTTTTAGTTTACATGCTGACGTTTCAGGAAATTTACTCCCATCTTCAGAACTTATAATCTCATATTTTCTTATTGATTCATATCTAAAGTCTGATGTGCTCCTTTCTCATGTTTTAAATTTATGTTATATATAAATTATAGTTATAATATTTAGAGCATCAACATTCCTATAGACCAATAATTGGATGTCTGATCTATGAAACGTTAACATGTAAATTCAACAAATAAATCAATTGTATATTTGGAAGTTATCAGCATCAAAAAATGAAACAGTAAAATCTTTTTACTCCATAGTTAAAATTATTGATACATATTATTCCCTGCCTCTATAATTTATAAAAAATCATGTTACCCTGATCTCAATAAATAATGCGTATAACATACATTTTCAACCTACAATATAATACAGCCCTTCCAGATATTTTTTTTTTCCACTCTACTGCACAAATTGGTACAACTTATATATTCAATGTAATTAATTTTTTTTTCATTTAAATGGAATTAAAGTATTAATTACAGTACTTAAATTCATCCTAGAAAAATTTTTTTGTATTGGTTTTGAATTCAAACAGTTGGTGAATTCAAGATATTAAAATCTCATCTGATTATTATATCTTCCGATAATTCTACATTGTTTTCTTGAATAATCCTTCCTTTTTTAAACATTCATTATTACTTATTTATCTATTCAAAAATCTACTTTGACGACATAGTTGGACATCTATATTGCCTTCTAAATAGTTATACTTACCATCATATGCCTTTCATTAATGCTTTCAACTGAAAATTGAAGAAATTAGTGGATGAAGGTGTTGCTTTGTTACAAATTTTGGAAAATTGATTTTTTTCTGTAGACTAGATAGATCATGTCATAAAAAAAAAAAAAAAAAAATATTTTCTCTAAAGTTTAAATTTGCAATATAACACCTTTAGATACTAATCTCTTCAATTTTTTAGAATATTCTACTGTTTATAAATGATTGATTATTATCTCTTAATATAAATGTTTCTAAATGATTAATGTTCACTACTATTTATAAATGATTGGGAAATTTATTCTCTTTACCATTGTAAATTTTTGAAGCTCCTCTAAAAAATCTGGGAACGTAGTGTTCCAAGACTGTAAGAGTTGAGTTAAGGTCTTCTAAAACTCCAACTACTGCATAATGCCTTTCTACTGCCCTTTTAGCTCGTTGTAATGCTCCAACTGTGTTAAATGGCCTATAAAATACAAATTTAAAAATATTTTTAATATAAATTAAAAAAATAGATGTATAATGCCTGAAACATTAATTTGTCTATTTTACATTATGGATGTATTTGTTCTGATTTGGTGCCAAAACATGAATAAAAGTTAGTCTATCAAAATAATTTATAACTTTTGTTGTTGTTTTCCCCATTTGATGTACAAGCAATAATTTGAAATAGGTATTCCTTAAGTTTAAAAATAGCTATATTAAAATATATAACCGCATGGAAATAGGGAAATTGGAATTTTCTTATAGAAAATATACGATTCTGCAGCAAATTTCTTCAAAATGGTGGTTGAATAATAATGCTGTTCATAAATCGTGGTTTGTAGGTACAAAAATCAACATGTTCAACACTATTAAAGCAAATAGTGTTAAACGCTCTGAGTAAATTTTTACCAGCTGTCAACGAAACCAAATTGTGTCAAAAATGTGACAACAGTAACTACATTAACAACTGGAGCCATCTATAGATAATTTCCGGTTTTATATTTATATATTTGGTATATCAATAGATTTAATATGACTTACGTGCAAGCATCTCCATGACCGCAGAAAAAGAGAGATTGCCTCCTGTGATCACCGATACCTTCCCTGGTTTCACCTTCGATGTACTGACATTCCCTGTCTCCACGAAGTACACAGGTTTCAAAATCCTGAAATTTAAATATTATTGTCTTATGAAATTCATTTCTTACATGAATTTTGGTACTAATTTTAATTATATAAGACCAAGATATAACTTGAAGATATTGATAAATATTGATGATGCCACCAGCAATTACTTTCTACAGATGTCCGTTATTATAAAAATATGCAATAATAAACTAAACAATCCTATTAATCCTAAATAATCAACTGAAATCTATCACTGTTGAAATATAATAGCCATCAGTGTATCATTAAATGCTTATAGTGTCTCTCTAGGGCAGTATGATTTATAGATGTTTGTGTTTCAAGCAGAATTTACTTTCTTCTGTCAAGAATTGCGTAGGTTAGTTACGTATAATTTTAATTTTGTCATAACAAATTTGGTTTTATCTGTCATTGAGTTATAATGAACCCTGTCCTGCATTTTGAAAAGTTGTTGATAAAATATATTCACAGTAAAATTTAAAAAAACAATTACCTTTCTCTTTAAAATTCATGAAAAACAAATTGGACCTTTAGCCAAAAAGTTTTCTATAACAAGACTGCTGATATTGACTAAAAACTATAAATACAAATAAATAAGATAATAAATATTGTGTAAAATACCTTTTTAAGCCAAAGAGGGTCTGGAAGAGGTATATCTGGGAATGCTTGTTTCCTTTCTACGTAATACCATGGTGCTCGGACATAATAGTACCAGGAAATCACTCGCTCTACAGGATCCCGCACTAAGTTCACATAAATAGGTTCAGGCAGACTGTATCTGAAATTACAAAGTATAATGCATTATACCATAAAAATATTCACATTTTAATTAAGACATTTTGAATTTTATAATATGATTCATTATAAATATCTCAGTATAATTAGTTATAAATGAAAGTAGTCATAAAGATTTGGAGACATTAGTACAATTGAGAACCACTGAACAGATTTTCAATGGACTTTAGACAGGATTTCCATTGTATAAGTTATAAAGAATAGTAATAATTTTGGATTTAGAAATTTAAATATTGCTGTATTTGATAGTCTTGACTAACTAAAAATCTTTTGAAATGATAAATGGAGGAGAATGATCCTTTGGTAATTTCTGGTAATATGCTAAGAAACTTTTTGATAATTATAATACCTAAAATGATATACTGGCATTGCTTTTGTACCTTCTTGTGTGTTTTCAATAAAATTTCTTGATACCTTAAGATGGAGTAACTTTGGGACTGGGTGGGTAATTTTGGGACAGCAGGTAAAATTAAGTTTGTGGAGATTCCGTGGTGGATATACTGCATTGGTTCAGTCTGCAAAAACTTGCTTTCTCTAGACATGTACTGGGCTACTTCCTTGCCTTGCAGCAGTTTGGGAATCCTAGTTCACTACACTCGTTTTCCAGTTAGGTTTTATTTCTTTCCATTGCTTTTTCAAAATTCTTATTTTCATAAAACTTTCACTTGTGCCTCAAGAACTACGAACATCAGATTACTGAAGTATTAATATCGGCCTCATTAATAAATGGCCTTCAGAAATTCAGTACTCAAAGGACAAATAGGCCTGCAAGAAATTTTCAAAGTGAAAGAGCTGCAAGTTTACAGCGGTCTCTTGGCTTCAGTTAACAAAAACTAAATTATACAAAGTGTTTGAATCATGTTTGTTACATTTTCCGTTTGTTCAGGAGATTTTCAAGAGCTAATTGTTTAAAAAATTATGATTTGCAATCTTTTTTGTACCATTAATACAAATATATTGTTCTCCTGTGCTCTTAAATATAATTTTGTTGGATAAAATTGGTATACAGTCATTTTCTTTGTCATTTCTTATGTAAATAATGAGACTATACAACATTGTGGAGTAACATTGGTACAAAATCATGTTCCCTGCCGTTTCTAATTCAGATAATGCAATTTTATCTCAATCAATGGAGTAAGATTAGGAAAAATTAAATTTTTTTTTAGTAAAATACTCTTATTTCTTGAGTTATTGTTCTGCCATATTTTGCAAGGGGAAAACTTATCTTACATATCAATAATTTTTTTTAGCATTTTAACTTTGGAAATAAAGATAGAAGCTGCTTAAATTGAAAAGTGTCCCAAAGTTACCCCATCTTATGGTAATATATTTTATATATTTGAATAAACATATTTCTTTGATGTCATTTATGGTTTAGGGAGAAGGTTGAAAAATCTAATATATAAGTTCTACCTGGTATTAAGTAAATTTTCATTATCGAATGTAGTTTTTGTTTTGATTTTGTAATATGTGTCTTTGAAAATACATCTATTGTTTAGTCTATTTTTTTATATACTTCAAAAAGGCTTAAAGGCTGTTCAATTTCTGACATCTCTAACAATAAAAGGTTCATCACTACCTAAAGATAAACAGTCAGCCATAAAACTGAACCATAAAGCATATGATTCAAACCTATATTTTTGATAAGAGGAGGAAGTGTTTTTACTTCAACCTGTTGTCCATGAAGCTTGTCATAGTTAACACAGAAAGAGAAGGGAAAGGCTTCATGAGCAGATAGGAATATTTGCTTTTGCAGACGTGACTTATTAATCAGAACTACAATAAAAAATACCCATGCCATATAACAGCATTAATTAACAAAAGTGAAAGGAAAACGTGATGAGCAACGGCTCATGAAAAGTAAATAAAACTCAATAATCGAAGATTTACGATTAATAGACAGCATAATTAAAAAGAATGTTTTAATACAGTTTGTTAACAAAGGTAAAGATTTAATAGGCAACAAATACCTTGAGCAGACGGATGGATTCTATAAAGTTCCTTATTCATTTAGATTACAGAAATAAAATTGATAAACTAAAAAAAAAAAAAAAAGATATATGCCATATAACTGTGTTAATTAATGAACGTGAAAGGAATATATGATTATTTTATTTTCTTTTTTAACAAAAGCAATGTTTTAATAGACAACAAACTATTTGAATGTATGAATGTGGCAAGATTAAAGTTCTTTCTTCATTTGGATGAGAAGATTGAAATAGAATTGCTATGTATTATGTAATTTAAAAAGTTCCCACTTTTCCCTCTAATGAAATATGATTAATACATTTTATCATATTAAGTGATTTTAAATAGTCATTAAGTAACATTGTACTGTTATAGTAACTTTTATTAATTTATAAAAGAGTTTGTATCGTTTTGATGCACTTACTGTGTTTTTGTATCAATATATTAACGTTGAAATTCATAAAAATAATAATTAAAAGTTTAGTTACATAAAAAATTTACTTTGTGACCAAAGTAAAAAGGTGTAGGAAGAATTAGTAAAATACTTTCATATTACTTCTCAACTCTTGAAAGGATACAACATGAGTTAATGGAATAAGTAGCATATTAATTTTATTTATTAACCAAATCATTTTCAATTAAATAACTTCAAATAATTGGAATGCCTTTCATTCATTGCTTCTTCTTTTCTTCATTCTAGTTACACAGTTATACATTAGTAACTCCTAATTCGTCGACAACTTAAAAAGTTGAGATAAAACTTACAAGTGTTTTTGAGTTTTTTTCAATTAATGGATGATATATAAATATAAGTATAATTTGCATTTCTTACTGTGTAAAATTGATGAAACATATATGCTTGACGTATACTGAAGGGGTCGAATAGCTGTTGATCATAGCTGCTAGGCCAAGCTGAAAAATAAGAAACTTTAATAAGAAAAATATTATATGTAACATATAATTAAGCAATTGCATAGAAATGAAATACTAAAGCTATTATCTTGGAAAGTAATGTTTATTGCAAGGAGATCATTTACAACTAAGACTCAAATGTAAAAAGATTTAATGAAAATATACCAAAATAATTATTTTATTTTTGCAGTATTTTCAATAAGATATTAAAATACTTTTTGAAGAGAAAAATTTTATTTATGGATTGAGTTGAATTATCGCTGTTAGTTGTTAAACTAATTCTCTAAATTTTAAAGCATTATTTCATAAAGAATGTTTAAAGATTATTATTATGAGAGGATTTAGTAGGTCTTAATTTAATTGGGTTAAATATATGATTATTCAACTAACAAGTATTATTTGCTAGTACCAATGGCTATCTGATAATATGAAGGCATGGAGGTTAAGATGAGCGGGTAAGGCATGTAGCTACCAGCAATACATCTGGGAGCCTCTACGTAATAATGAATGCTTCAATAGAAGGCAAAATATTATGTAGAATGCCAACAGGCAGATGGATAGATAGAATTAACAATGATGCAATAGAGCTGTGTTCAGATAACTGGAAAGAAATAACCCAAGACAGGCAAAGATGGAGTTGGCTTGTTAAGGCGGCAAAACATCTACCAGGCCAGTAATGCCAACAGAAAAAAAAATTAAAAACTATCTCTTAAAGTATAATTGTTCGTGTAATTACATTTAATAGGGTGTCAAGAATCACTTAAACACCATTTCATATAGATAGTTCATTTCTTTCTTCTTTTTTTTAAAATTAATTATCGTTATTTACAGAAAAAAAATCTTTCGGGCTGAAGTCCCCCCTCCCAAAATTAAATCCTGGGTCCGCTAGTGCCAGACTGAAAAGCATCAGAATTCTTAGGAAAATTCTGCTAGATCATGTACCAAAGAACAATATACTTAAAGTTTAATTTTCATTGAAAAATATTTATATCTAGTTTTTTGATACACTGACATTTATTATGTCATCAAGGGACATGAATAGTTGGAACAAAATTTCCTGGGATTTCAATTAAAAATATTACGATGTATTAATTTGATAAAAGAAAACTTAAATATTCTCAACTCATACGGATTTGAATTTTAAACTTACTTGTTGGGAATGTTGTACTTTACAATAATAATTTTGTTTTTTAATCAAACACAACATTGCATCGATAAAGTTCAAATTTCTTAATTTGAAGAATTCTAATTAGTTTTTTATTTAAATTTTATAATTAAAATATGTTTTCAAATCTCAATCTTCCCAAACTGTTATTTTTTTAAATTATATGGGTAGGATATGACTATTATATTATTTCAATCATGATTATTATCAATAACTTCAACTTATGATAAAGGTGTTTGATTCTTATTACATTAATTGCTTTACATATCCTGATGAGAAAGTATTTTTCTGTCAATGATAGACAAGATTTCAAGCTACATCATTATGTTAAATTTAAATGTTTTCAGTGGTGAATTATTTAATTAATGGTTGTTTAGTATCCAAAGGACCAGTTATAGGTGTGATGTCAATATTCTGTTGATCTTACCTGTTCTGCAGGAGCCAATCTAATTGTTTCCACTCTCTGAATGTGATCTCTATGGAAGCCAAAGTCGTTCTTCATGGCTAAATGCCTTAAAAGTTCCATAAATGTCTGGCTACCAACTTTAGGAACACGATTAAAGAAAACTAATTGTTTTTCTGCTTTCCGGGTGTTGTTGAGTGCTTGTGCATTCAAATTTTCAATCTGAAAAGGAAATGAAAATGACAATTTATCGCTAAGCAAACATATAATAAATATGAGGGAATGTTAATTATTTCAAATAAACCTTATTAAAGATATTTTAGAAGAAGCCATTTTGAAAATTTGTCTTTAAGACCTAATAAGACTATATAAATAGGAATAAGATATATCTGTTATTAAAATCCAGTTAATGTAAATTGATATAACGAGTTTTATCAAAATCATTAAAACCTTTTTTGAGAAAATAGTAAAGATGAGTAAAATCGGTGATATAAAGTGTGACTTTCGGTTAGTAGATATTGGCAAAAAAGTTTGTGTGGTATCCCAAGCACACACACACAGATCATTTATCGAAACTTGGTAATTCGGATTAAAGGAGACCTCAAAAGATATACTTCTGTTGAAAACTCGGATTCAATTTTTTCATAATTATAATACTTTTATTTCATATATAGGATAGGTAAGTGAGAGTAAAAAACCTGTACCACTACAACCCATGAAGGGTATTGGATTCAGTACTATTTAGGGAAAACACTGTTTCTAGGTCAACGGTTGTGCTAGGAGGTGATTTGACTGAGATCACGCTCAACTGTCAGGTTTTCCCCCTTAGCTAATCATTTAATTAAGGGTGCCCACTTTATAGAGGCTGGGTGTGCATCAGGAGGGTGTGAGAGTAAAACTGGGAAAAAAGAACAGGAGATTTTTTTTTTTTTACCATAAAGAAAAAGATAGAAGGTTATATCCTTTCTACTTTGTAATAAAGACGATTTGCAAGGAGGGCAATGGCGCGGAGGCATCACTAATTAGGGACAAAAATCTTATTTCTATAGATAGAAAAGTCTTATTTCTATCTGTTTTTTTACTTTCCTTTTCGTCTTTGCTTAGACCTTTATATTCCCGAAGAGGAATAATTATTTCTAATCTCAGTACCACTTTCTGTTAGATAAATTACAAGCTGGCTAGATATTTATCAGACGTGAATGGGATAGAAGAGATTTATCAGTCTTGGTGGTAGAGTTCGAGGGAAGTAAGGGGGAGGGCCCTAGTAAAATTTGGTTCCGGGCGCCAAAAACTCACGTGACGGGCCTGTTTACAAGTGATTATTATTTACATGAGCTCTTTTGACGTGACTTTGAAGTAAGTGCTAACACTTATCTGCTGTGCACTTGTTCGTGTTTCTCGCATTATAAACTTATGGAGTCGTGGAGATAGTTATTGATACTAATATCGCTCGTGACTCTGGATAACTTTCCAAGGGGGATGCTCTTGCAACTCGATGAATTTTCATCAGGTGCCCACGCTCGAGTTTCACCCTGTTCCAAAGCGTAGACGGAACTTGTGTGATCGGTGCGTCGATGGTAGCCATAAACAAGGGACTTTGACAAGGCCTTGCTGTTCATATACGGCGGAGGAATTTCGTAGAGCCACGACTGAATCTAGTTAGAGTGCTCTCTACTCTCGTATATCTCCCCGCTGCATTATTCAATACTATATGCTTCGTGGCCTCTGAGACTATTATCGGGAACTTATTCCTGCCTAGCTGTGAAATGGTATAAATATCAAGTATTTTAAGTTGTGTCTTAAGCATAAGACATTAGTTAATTAAAAAAACGTTATTAGAAGACGGTACATAACTTGCATGGTACCAGTGTATCAATGTTACTCCCCTTTGCCGAATGGGCCAAGATCACTTAATCATGCTATAAATCAATTCCAATGCGGGGTCAACAGTAAAAATAATTAATTGCCAACTGTGGCCTGGAGCACTGCAGCCCATTGCCCTACTCATTCAGCTACCTTACTCCCCTTATTCGGTTTATACCAAATTCACAAAATTCTTAAGCAGAAATTGACTATTATAATATATTTTCTGACCATAAAAATATAATTGTGGCGAAAGTAAGTTTCATTAAGAAAAAAACCCTCTCAGTTTACTTCTTTTAAGGATAGCTCATTATTTTAAAGGATATTACAATATTAAAAAAAAAAAACTTACCTCTCCGCTGTCTTTAAGTTGTCTCATCATAATGCTCACTGCCGAAAATTGACTTTCTCCTGAAACAAAAATAAAAATGTTAGTTTAATTGGAAGTACGATCCTATAAAAACATGTTTAAATCGGTTAAATACTATTTAAGTTTTTAACTTAAAAATCGGGAAATTTCTATTTTCAGACATAATAACTTATAGGCCAAGCCTGTATAATACTATGAACTGAATCTAGTATATCGAATTTGTAAATTTATATTGGCTATTTAACATACACGGGTCGTTTGACCTAAATATCATCATCATATTGAAATAATGAAGGCGAAAGTCAGGCCAAAAAGCCCAATATTTTTGTATATCACCAATTTATCGATTTTTTGATCAGATTATTTTACAATCCTATATATTATTTCTGAAAGGTGTTTTTTTGTCGGTGCGCCATAACTTCGTCAATTCTTCATCAAAACCAATGATTGACCACTCATTTTGATTTCTTCTCTTTCACATGCGAAAAATAGTCCTATCCCTCCGAAATTTCTGGGATAAAAGTTATGAAGGAAAATAATCTTTATTTACGAAAAATTCAAAAAGTATGCATTTTTTTCTTGTTTGTACCCATAATAATTAAAAAGATTACTAAATTACCTACAAAAAAAAAATTGGACAATTATTAACAACAGTCCATTAGTTTTGGTATACTTAATAATGTCTTCCGATTTAAAGATATTGCATTTAAAAACAGAATAGTCTACTACATTTTTTCCTGGCGGATATATTAACTTTATTATTTCTAAAAGACATTTGGTTGTTCTTAAATATTATTTTTTTTAATAATTTAGAATATCCCACGATCGGGGCATTATTTTGTTTATATTACTTTTATTATCTTCCCAGCCAGCGTTTAAAAATAGATCCTAGCAAAGCGATTTGTACAAATATTTTAGTATATTATGTTTAATGGAATATTTTAATCGAGCAAGGAAAAAATATTAATTCCTTCCTTACATAATACATAGAAACTACTTATTTCCATATTGTTTTGCTATTAATTCACTAAAGAATTTTTCGCACGGACCAACTAGTTAAAATACAAAACAAATGGTTGCTCATGATTGTTTTAGTGCGTCATTTAATTGACGAAGTTTACCGACCTCCAAGTTGAAAACGATCCATTTCCGAGAATTTTTGTAGATAATTAAGTTATAATTTACGATAAACTGAAGCCAGCTACGATTTTTCAGAAGAGTATTAATTATTTGATAAAAGGGAGTATATAACGCGGAATAAATTTATATATAACACATTATCCAGTGCTAAAAATTCAAAGAACTAAATTTTCATTTGCGATATTTCCACGGACAAAAATGTCCTTGATTTCATTCACTGTGTGATATGATTTCCATCCAAGAGGGGAAAAACTAGTTTCAATAAATCGGTGAAGGTGACGGTTAATTTGATGGGCATATATTTCTCGATGATCAAAGTATCTAAGGTTATTTACTTATTATACGTTTGGTTTATTCATTATTTATTTTACTTGGATAAGATACACTATATATAAGAAGGTAAAATAGGCTATTTTCCTTCTCTCGGTGGCAATGGATTTTGTTGAACGAAGTATCAAAGGAAAGGGGTTTTTGTATAGAAGTGACGAGTTCAATTTCGATCCTCAAATTCCTACAATCGTTTCTTAATAAACTCCAGAACTATCTCGTTTCTAACCTTGCTTCCTCTTCGATCCCTGATAAGAGGAGTCTAAAAAGAAGATGGTTTCGTGATCTATTAATGTAGACATATTATTAGAATGCTTCAGGATGAGAGATAGCTATTTAATGTGATAGTTTCCTTCTGAATATAATGATTATATATTTAAATCAGAGAAAGAAAATTTAGGGACTAGAGCTGAATCTTGTTCAACACTTTCGTAAAAGCTACAATAACTCTTGATTACTAAAAACGAGAGACCAAACCGAATAGTTGAATAGAACACGAGTACGAAGCAAAAACCGGAGGCGAAGCGAATTGGGTTAATATCGGTGAAGGTCGACGGACAAAGCTGTTCTCAGCTGATGAAGAAAATGGTTCTCCTAATCGGCTATTTACACGGCCATCAGAGGAAATGATCCAAAGAAAATTATCAGCTGAAGATGAAAGAAACATGAAGCTAATTCTGCACCATCTAATGAAGATGGCGGCGATGAGTTCGAGCATAAACGTCTCTAATAAGGCTGGTATTACCTCCCGCTTTTTGTTTTTATTTAAAAATTAAGAAAGTATTTTTAAGAAACGGGTTTCACTTGGCTTTTTCTTATCTTGAAGAACAAGTTGTAAGCTAAGAAGAACTTATTAATTAAAATCAAAAATTATTCAAGAAGTTTCATTATTTCAAAAAGAAGCCAACAAATATTATTCGGGAATCAATATTTGAATATAAAATTATTAAAATGTGTGTTGGTGAAATAGGCAGCTAACTATTTATATAAATATATAATATAGAAGTGGAGCGGTGTAGCTCACTGAGTACGAAACTGGGCTATAATACTCCAGTTCCGGGTTCGAGACCGGCTAACGTGTATAAATATAAAATAAACGGAGAAAGTAATTTAGTAAACGAGATATCAATGAATCACAAAATAATCAGAGTATCTGGGTGTACTTCGAAATTCTTACAGCTTAGGTTTTTAAGTGCATTTCGTGATCAATCGGATTGGGAATGGAGTAGATGTTTAAAAAGGAGAGATTTGAAAGAGGATATTGATTTTGCCTGTCGAATATCTGAGGATATAGAGTTCCAGAGGGAGACAACTTGAATTAAAACGGATTTACCAAACGGAATTCGGTGAGGAGAAGGATAGAGGTCGGACGCACGGGATCTGGTGTGAAGGGATTGAAAGGAGCGTTTGAATTGTAGGACCTGTAGAATATAGGCGGGTCGCCGTGTTCTAATGGCCTGGTGTAGCAAGGAAACAAGGGAATATTGACGGTGGCAGGACGGATAGAGCCATTTTAACTCTGTGTAAAACTGAGTAATATGCGTATCTTTTGAGATTCCGAAGATAAAGCCGATGAACAATTTATAAAACATAGGACAATAATGACGACAGAATTTTTTTAGAATTATTTCTTTATTTCAATGGAAATTTAAAAATTATTAAACCTTGGAAGTCAGACCTAACCGTCTTTCCTCTATCATCAGGTCTATCTGAAAGAGATAGGAATAAAAAAATATACAGACCTAAGAAAGAAGATAAGTAAGCCTAATGCAGTCTATAAGGAGGCCATCAAGGGGACGAAAGGTGAGGAGGAAGAGTGGTAGAGAGAAATGGGTCGTGGGTTATGTAAGTAGGACCACTCTCGAGGTCTCCGGGTCTTGAGGTCTGCTCCAAGGTCTACTCCAGCTGGAGAACTCTGGACCCAACTCCAGCCTGCCTTCGCTCTGGAGGGAAAGTTCTCGAGAACCGGTCTGGATATGGAGGAGGTGCTTCCAGTTCGCTAATCCACTGGTATTATGTCATCCAATTATATTTAGCTCGTCTTTGCCAGGCCAACTCTAAGTACATTTTATCCAGATTGATTTATATTCCAAAGAGTCAGACCGAGAATGTATATATGTTGGCCTTATTAAACAATTATTAATGTATTTTAACAAATTTATCAGGCGGAGCTGAAGTTTCTAAGATAATTTATTTTTAATTTTGAGCACGAGTTTCAGTTAGAATGTTCTCTTCAGTTATATTTCCAAGAACCCACACATACACTTTAATAAAACGGGGAAGTCCTCACGCGCCGAGGATCGAACATACTAGACCGACACACCTCTACCTCATGACAAAAGATCTTATCCCCAGATGTCAAAAGTGAGACTAGTCATTAACTATAAAACATATTTTGGAAGAGTGCCATTTTACACCGCAAGGAATACCCCAGAATATATCAGCATCCCTGGGAAATCAAGAAGAAATCGTTACCAAAGTTATCAAGTTCCTGGATAGTGAAAGACTTAAAAAAACATATATGACAAGCTTATAATTAATGATCCTTTGCAGATTTAATTTTTTTAATTTTTTTTTTCATTTATTTCAATTCATTTATTGATTTTACTGCTATTTTTCAAAAGTTTATTTATTTATCTGTTCTATATTATTATCTATAAGTGTCTATTATTATCCTCATTTATTTATTTTATTCTATCAATCCATTTCTTTATCTTTTTTTATCCTTTTTTATTTTTATTTTTTGTACCAACCGTCCAAATAGTATAAAGTGGTGTTATTTAGTTGATCGGGCTCTTATGACCTGGATGTTTTGCGCCTATACATTGGAACAAACAAACAAAATGGAGAAGTTATGGACGTTGGGTCAATTTTTTAAATAAAACATTTTTATTGTGATACTAGGTCGAAAAATATTAGACCAATGCCCGAGGGATCTTGTCAAAGCGCTCCAGAAATCGATAAAAACCTAATAATTTTTACAGCACTGTTTATATTATTGTTTTTTGTCTTTACAATGCATGGATTTTAAGGTTGTAGTAAATATCGTCCCAATACAAATATTGTTTGTAATCAACATATATAGTTTTTGAATTTGAGTTTAGAATAAAGTATAGAAACAATTTGAACTGACCGAAGGAGAAAACTGTGTTCAAATTTTTTTTCTAGGAGAAACAATTTCGCACAATTTGTATTTCGCACATCGGAAAATAATTGAATATGATTTTTTATAGCAATCGAAAAACAAAAATTTTTATTCGAAACTTTCTCTAAGCCTTCAATTTGTTTTCGGGAATTAAAAAAAAATGTGAGAACTTCAACATTACTCCATTTAGTCATTTGAAAATTATTTAGGATTTAGGGCTCAATAAACTTCACGAAATGACACAAACCAGACCACGGTAAACAAATTAGGACTGGAAAAAGATATATGAGCCTTTCACTTGACAGAATAATTAACTCCAATTTGAATATTGCTAATTATTAATTTTACTGATATTTTTAGTGGGAAAATTTATACTTTTATTTACAGCTCTATATTTTAACACTGCAATCAAATACTCTGGAATCAATTTACTC